TTTATAAAACCTAAAGCAAAGAAGAATAATTAAATCTGAATGTGTTTTCAAGCTTACCCTGAGGGGGTATTTATAGCTTTCTAAATACCTAAAAATAATGAAAATATAATTCCTAAAAGCAAGAGATAATTCCTAAAGATAATTCTCGAAAATATTCAAACTTAAATCCTAAAAACATGAGATAATTTTAAACTCGTATTTCAAAAATGCGACTGATCCGTTCGTTCTTCTAGAAGCTCTGACTGGACCTTCTAGAAGCTGCGGATTCAATGCCACGTCAGTCGCGTCATGCCCACTAATCAAGCCTTGACTCCAAAAATAAAAAAAATTACAGAATTATGTCCTTTTAGTGCAATTTTCAAAATCTAGTGTATTGCACAGAAAATTAATCAAAACGAATAAATCAGCCACAAAAACCAAAAACTAAGGAACAAATTAAAATAATAACCAAATAAACCACCTATCACAAACATGACTAGCTTATAATTTATTACCAATTATATCTAAACTAGTAGAAACCAACTATTATTATTATATACATGCCATCTAGAAAGTTAAATTACACCAGATTGATGTAATTACTGATACTATAAGTATACGTCTTCATGAGTGTGATGCTTGATATTCCTTACTCTAATTTTCTGCTTTTTACTTACGCGTGAAAATCACACACGCTAAGTATACCCTTAGTGAGACAATAATAATAATCAGTGCAATACAATGTATATATAAAGAAATAACAATACTCAATGCATAATGATCACTTTACCTGTATCACATTCATGTTACACATATTAACATGAAATAAACAATGTATATAATTTATTACCAATATACTTGTCATTTATTCCATAGGCTCATAAGCTTTATCATCTGCTTATAATTTATTAACCAATAAACCATAGCCCAAATATAAGCCTATGAGAACCCTAGGTACACGAGTCAAATATGTACTCAAGTGCTAATACACATAAAGGCATGCTCACTATATGCACTAAGTGTCATTTATATACACTATAATGCTAAATCGAATATGCAACTTGTTGCTGGACTCTATGGCATGCCAACTATACCTTTGTCCCTCAATGACCTACTTGGGCATATAGTTTATATTTATTTTATTCATGACATTGTATATCAACATAATTCAACATTGGGCAGTTCATACCCGAAATAAAATTCATGATATAACATCATAAATAAACTAATGATCAATGCATTTTATATTAACTTTTGATATATTTAGAACAAGTCAAATATATGATTAATGATATAAATATCATGTCAATATAAATAAGGTAGACTCATCGCAAGTCTTCCTAATGATGTATATAATATCCATGTATCATGTTACGTATGTATTGCACTCACCTTGACACTTTTTATACAAGTCAAAATATAAGCCTCGCTAAGCTTTAAGCTCGATCTTTTTCCTTTTCTTTGTTTCTAGTTAGATCCGAGTTTTGATTGATGTCTATAAATACATCAAACATATAACACAATAATCAAAAGCACAAGTTAGAATCCATCTAACCAATGCGCATATAGTGTAGGAAAAATTCATAATATTCTTTCCAATATAATATTGTAATTACAATGTTTCCTACACTTCATTTCCACCTTAATTTATTTGAATTCACCTTTAAAATCACAATTTCACTTTAAGACCTTATTTTTCTCTTTTAGGCTTTAAGTACGGATTTCTAAATCCAATAATTTAATCATCAAAATAATCCTTGAAAGATAACAAATATCATAAATAAGTCACTTGAATTTTCCTATAATTTTTCCTTAAGAAACCCATGTGTCCTAATATAATCCATAACATTCTAAGGGTTTTCAAGATCCAAACAACAAATTTAAACATGTATTTTAATATTATACTATAGCCTTCATCAAATTCAAACTTTGAATATAATTTCCAAACTTTTCCTAAAGTGTCGTTTTGGTCACTATTAGGATTCAACCATTCTTCCTCCTTTCAAGCTTGAATAAACAAGCTAAGGTATAAAACATAATATTCTCATCATATCTAACATAAAAATCAATTCAAAACATCAACCCCTTAACTTTTTATCTTTTCCAAATAGAACCCTAAAAGAAAACTAATGGTTTTTTCATTACTTGAAACATGCAATCAACATCACAACACTTATATCATCATTTTCAAGCCTTGAAACCTCAAATTTCATCATCCCCTTCATCCACCCTTTTCATAAATTTAGGATTATAAGCATGAACAATATGATCAAATGGTACAAAATGAAAAAGAATTCAATGGAGAAAAAAAATTGGATTTCATGTCTTAACTTTAAATCCAACTTAAAATGCTTAAAAATCCAAAGGAAAAAACTACTTTTTTTTTTCAACCCACAGCAGCAGCAAATTCGAGAGTTTTCTTGAATTGTTTTCTTTAATTTTAGTCTTTTTTGGATTTTATAACGTCAATGAATTTAAAATTCATTTTAGTCCAAAATGAATATTTTGACCTTCAAATCTAATGATCCTAATAATGTCACATATCAAATTTATCATTCAAGGGATGAAATTAAACCATGAAGTTAGTAGTTTACAATTTTACCCTTGAAAAGTTCCAAAATTACAATCTTGTCCTTTTTAATCCAAAGACTAAGATTCAACATGGAAATCAACTTAAATATAATGGTCCACATTAAATATTATCATTTTAAAGTATGGAAAAGACATTTTTGCCCTTGCTTTATCATCTATTAAAATTTCCTGAATGTTCGATTTGATCCGAATTTTTCTCAAACTTTCACACTTTTAGCTTTCAACACAAACTCCGTACAAAAAATCTGAAACCCATGAAAATATCATTCTTGGGGGTAAACTATTCATTTACAGGACCATATTACATAACTTTTTAAAATTATACTTTGGTCTCTAAACTTTCTAAACTTTATACTTTAACCATCAAACTTTCAATTTATTCATTTTGATCACTAACCAAAATTTTAAAGTATTACACCATTACCCTTTGCATTGCATGGTACAAAGTGATTTGGGATTTAAGGTTCCAACCTATGATAAATGGGAAAGGATTTACTTTGGCTTCTCATTTTTTGAGAAGAATTCACTTGCTACATTAATCTCAAATGCTATAAATTGAAATTAATCTCATAATATTGCCATTGGTCCATAAAATGGTGTCTTAATTATATATAGTTAGAGAAACATTGCTCAAATGCTATAAATTCTAAGGATCAAGGCATACTCTCTATTCACATAACTAAATATTTTGTCACCAATAATCTTTATTCCATAAGCATTATTAACTAAATAAACTTAATCATGTAAGATCAAATTCGAATCAAACAATAATATAAAATTGTTATCAAATTTAGAGATTTTCAGCATCGACTTTGTTTTGATCGCCAAATGTATTATACTAGATTATATATATTCCATTACTTCTTTGTCTTTATTAATCATGGAGGAATTGACCCTGAAAGAGAGTAAACTTTTGAAGGAAGGCCAGGCAGTAGCCAACATGATGGATCGTCTTCCTCAGGAAGCCGTCGTCCATATACTATCCAGGCTTCCCTTAACATCTTTGCTGAATTCAAAGCTGGTTTGCAGAGCCTGGCGAACCCTAATTCAAGACCCATTTCTCATCAGCAAGCACCGGTCTCACATGGCTGAGGCTGACAATGATCCCAGCTTCATTTTACAAAGCAACTACCCTATCCCCGACCAACGCCACTTCATCGATTTCTTTGATCACAGTGAAGGCAAAGTCATTTCAAAGAAGCTCCCAACTTCAACTACGCCCTCTGTTTTGAAAATCGGACCGGACCGGCCGGTTCAACCGGGAAACGTTGCTTAGTCCGGTTCAATCTAAACCGGTTGAACCGTTATTAGTGAACCAGCCAGAATTGTTGAACCGTTCGAACCGGACCGGCTGAAAACCGAAAAAAATCAGGAAAAACCGGGATTTTTGTTTTTTTAAAAAAAAAAATTAAACCAAACAACGTCATTTGTTAAACGAGCCAAGTCGAATTCGAGTATTGCTGAGCTCGACTCGAACTTGAAAACTTTAAAAGTAAGCTCAACTCAACTCAAACTCACAAGCTAAAAATTATCAAGTTCAACTCAAACTCGAAATATAATATTGAAACTTGAACTCAAAAAGGCTTGAACTCAAAAAGGCTTGAACTCAAAAAAAAATTAGAAGCTCGATTAAAACCTAAAATTCGAGCTTGATTGAAGTGAAAGAATAGTTATATAATTATAGTTATATAATTTTGTTATGATTTTTTTAACCCCAAATTTATTTTTTAATTATAGTTATATAATTATTTATTATTTAATATGTTTTACCTTAAATATTATATTGTAGTTAATTTGAATCATTTTGCTTCACTTGATTTTATGGTTTTTAACTTATATATGTTATGACTTGCTTTGAATGACTTGTGATATAAAAAATTATTTTTTATTAAATATTTTTGATATTTTTATTTAAATTTTTAAATAATTATGACGTCGTCCGGTTCTTTCGACCGGTCGGACCGGTTCGATCGGTTGAACCAGTGAACCGGTAGCATGACCGGTTCGCTAACCGGTCCGGTTCTGAAAACCATGAGTCTACGCCCATGTACTTGGTAGATTCATGCAACGGCTTGCTTTGCATGCGTGATAATTCACGAAACGTATACATTTCTAACCCTTTCACCAGGCTTTGCATCGAGCTCCCCAAACTGGTTCAGTATCCATCGAAACTGGGGCATTTGGGGTTCGGTTTTCGTCGAACCACAAAGGAATACAAGGTGATCCATATAGTGTTTCGAAGAAAATTGAAAAGAGACCACCCAAACGAAGATCCATCAACGTTGATTCAATCGGAGGTTCAGATTCTAACGATCGGAACCCTTTCATGGAGAAATTTATAATCCATACCTTATCGTTTCAAGAAGTGGGCATCCAAGGCTTTGGTTAACCGGATATTCCACTGGCTCTCGATGCCTAACAAGTATACCATGGCTAGCTTCCTTATATCGTTCGATCTCGAAACCGAGAAATTCCAGGAGGTCCCGAAGCCCGATTGTTGCGGCTCAGACATGTGTTTGTCTCATCTGTTGGTTGTACAAGGTTGTCTGTCTGCCGGTGCGTTTCATGATGATGATGGGCGGTTGGAGATTTGGGTTATGGAAGAGTACGGTGTGAAAGAGTCTTGGATCAAAGAGTTGAGCATCGGAAGTTACGTGCCGCCGACGTTGATACATCAACAGAGCCGACACTTCAGTTATTCAAGACATAATTTGCCTAATTTACATGTTCGAGTTCTTTGTGTGTTGAGAAGTGGGGAGATCTTGTTGGAGCACGAGAGGAGAGCTCTTTCTGTTTACGATCCACGGTGTTGGACATTCAAGGAGTTTACTTTTCAGGAAATGCCTGCTCACTGGTTCAAAATTATCTTTCATGTCGGAAGCTTGAATTGGCTTGAGAATTAATTCTATGTTTATCAATTAATTTTTAAGGTTTAAAATAACTGCTTAGGAGGACAGTCGGCTAATGTAACATCTAATACAATATCTTATATGTATTTCATGTATTTGAATATAGATTTAGAATTATAAAGAACGCGAGCTGATTTTAATTTGAGAGTAAGGAGTTAGTATAATTCGCAATATCTCTTATGCATATTTAATAGTGACAATGTATAAAATAAACAGTTGAATCGTATTATCACAACTGTTAAGAAAAGTACTTACAAAGATTTGATCTTAGCGATACTGTAAAAGATACTTGTGATTTATCATCTTGGTTATAACATCGAAAAATTGTGACGGAGCATGGTGTAATCCATCAATATAACCTAAGTCGAAATCAGTGAGTCTGACCTCCATCTATCAGTGTTGTACAGGGAGGTTTGTAGACATAATACTGGTTAGGAAGTTCGTTGGTGCATGAAGATGCACCAGATTGATGGTGACAGACGAAAAACCATAACAAATATGCGATAAAAAGAGAAGAAAAGAAAATTTATGCAGAATAATTCTATAGTGATAGAGTTTGATTCGAATTCAAAGTGACACAAATTAATTAATATATAAATATTGGGAAAGTAGGAAATCCAATTTGATTAAAAATAGAAAACTTTATTAAAGTATATTTATACTTTATTTAGTTTTCCTTTGTAATCAAGTATCTATCCTTATACATAGATACTAAGGGTCAGTGTTAGATACTCAAGTTTTTATTTCACCAAAATCCTCTTGTATTTTCTTCTTTCATATTAGTGAAATTCTTCTCCTCTGTCCCTGGTTTTTCCCTTTTGGGTTTTCCATGTAAATCCTGGTGTTCTTTGTTTTTCCTTTTCGATAGTGTTTATTTGTTTATCAATAATTATCATTTCAATATTATAACAAATTGGTATCAGAGCTTCGGGTTCAAGATTATGGCAACAATGAAGTATGATATTCCGCTGTTGGATCGAAACACCAGGTTCTCGTTATGGCAGGTGAAGATTTGGGATGTTATTGTACAGTTAGATCTCGACGATGCAATAGAAGATTTGATTAGAAGTCAGTAACACAATGGACGAATGAGGAAAAGCGTAAGGATCGTAAAGCTCTTTCTCAGGTTTTATACTTATCAAATCAAATTTTACTAGATGTGTTGAAAGAAAAACAGCTGCATCTTTGTGGGTGAAATTGGAGCAACTTTGCATGCACAAATAACTGTACAACTAGAATCGCCTCTGTTTTGTGTTTAATTTGTTGTGCCGTTTTCCTCTGTTTTCAGCTTCCAAACAACGCCTTTTCAACATTTCCTCTGTTTCTTCCTCGATTTGAATCATTTCCTCACGAGAACCTAATTTTATAATTTTAAGTTGATATTTTTTTCTTTTTGAATCACTTCTCTAAGCTTCGTTAGATGTTTAGATTTTTTTACGGCTCAATTTTGGAGTTAGATCTATGTATTTATTTATTGGATTCTGCAGATCTAGCGATCTATAACTGATTTTCATTAATTGTGGAAACTTAATCCTAGAAAGAGTTTTTTTGCAGTCTTCACCTCTGTTTCATGTGCAGGAAAATATGAAAGATTTATATACCTCTGTCTGATTCATTAACTATAGACAATAACTCTTCACCCTTCTTATTTTGCAACTCAGAATTCCACCTTTCTTGTTTCTTTTATTACATTCTTATTTACATCAAAATCCACCCAAAGTTTCATCTTTTTTATGAGCGGGAGTGACAGATGCTTTCGAGGGGTTATTTAAAAAAAGGATCCGACTGTCTTACCACTGGATTTCTCGAAGCTCATATCTCCAGTGTCTTATGCTTTCGAATTCATATTTTCCCCAGGTTCTCTTTTTTAGGATTTTTATTTCTTGTTGATCGTTTAAGGAAAGTTTTTTCTTTTATAATTAAAATAGGTTTAGTTATTGTTTAATGCTTAATTTCACGAATTAGGATCGTGTTTATATTGTGATCCATTTTTTTCTAGAACTAATTAAACTAAAACTATGCCACTTCCCAGTTTTTATTTTGTTCTTCAGCTTCCTTTTTTTCAGTGCAAATCTTTTGTCAGATCGGCTAAACTCCATTTATATAAAGAGAAAGACCCAGTTGTTAATCTTTATATGAATTATACAGTTCTGAAGTTGATTATTTGAGTCTAAGAATATTTTTGTTAGTGATTTTTACGTGATCACACTGGATTCTGCGAGTTTAAGTTTATTAGATCTGTTTTGGGTATTTTTATTTAGATATGTGTTCTAATAGTTGAGAGATCTGTTTTAATATTTTGTTTTCCCTAAAGTTAAGTAAGATAATGTTAATTTGTCTTAAAATCCTATTTAGTAACCAACTAGGCTTCTTAGTACCCCCTCAATTTTCTAGAGCTTTATTGGTGCATATTCTGTCTTATTTTGTTTCCTTTTTATAGTTCCTCATAGCTTCGGCTATAGATGATCACTTGAGGTCATGTCTTTCTTTTAGACTCCATAGGGCGTATAGGGGGAGGGCTCGACAGAGTGGTGTCAAGGAGACTAGACTTAGAGTTTGTTCGTTGAATGTAGGCACATTAAATGCTAGGCTGCTGGATGACAAACTACTTAATAATAGGAAAATAGATTTGGCATGTATTCAGGAGACTAGGTGGAAAGGGACTCGCGCCAGAGAGTGTAATGGGTACAAGTTATGGTATTCAGGCGTAGATAACGTTAGAAATGGGGTGGGTATCTTGGTATCCTCTAGGCTCAAGGAAAATGTAGTTGAAGTTTGTAGATATCATGATAGGATTATGATGATTAAGGTTATTATAGAAGCGGAAGTGGTGAATGTCCTTTCAGTGTACGCCCCACACGTTGGCCTAGGGGAGGGGGAGAAACGTTGCTTCTGGGATCAGTTAGATGATGTACTTAGGAGCATTCCGAAGGACCAAAGAGTTTTCATAGGGGGAGACTTCAATGGCTATGTAGGTAGGGCAACCGACGGGTATGACGGTGTTCATGGGGGTTTCGGGTTTAGTAGTAGGAACGAGGAGGGGCGTACGTTGCTTGAATTTGCAACTATACACGATATGGTGGTCCCAAACTCCTTCTTTAACAAGAGAGATGTGAACTTGATTACGTTCCATAGCGGTGGACATTGTACCCAAATCGACTACATCCTGGTTCGAAATCGGGATCGATGGGCTTACATTGACTATAAGGTGTTCCCTAAAGAGGCATGTGTATCACAACACAGATTGTTGGTTTTGGTGTTCCGCGTACGCCATGGGCAGAGCAGTCATAGGAAGGCTAAGCTTGGTAAACCTAGGATCCTTTGGAAGAACTTACATGGAGCGACAACTGATGACTTTAGGAGTAAGGTTTTGTCTAATACAGGTTTTGGAACTTCAAACTCAAAAAATGCCGATATGTATGGAAAATATGGCAGATTTCATCAGAGAGGTAGGTAAAACACCCTTGGGTTGTCGAGGGAAGGTTAAGGAACATAAAGAATCGTGGGGTGGAACGACGAAGTCCAAACTAATGTGAAGACAAAGCAAACTTGCTTCAAGGAGTTGTTACAATGCATTGACGACGAAGAAAGATCGAAAGCTAAACAAAGATACAAGGAGGCAAAGCGGGAAGCCAAGAAAACGGTGGGTAAAGCAAAGGATAAGGCATACGAGGAAATGTACAAGAGATTAGACACCAAAAAAGAACAAAACAACTTCTTCAGGCTTGCAAAATCCAGGGAGAATAGGAAAAAGGATCTAGGTAGCATTAGGTTTATTAAGGACAACAATGGTGTCCTCTTAGTGAAAGATCATGATATTAAGAGGGTTTGGGGTAGTTACTTCTTTGGCTTATTTAATGACAGTGCCTCTCCCTGTAGAGATAGTACCGTTGATGGGTCAGCCGACCATCATACAACGGTCATTGACTGCCCTATAAGTAAGATTGGGTTTGAGGAAGTCAAAATGGTTATTAGAAAGATGGGAAGGGATAAAGCTGTTGGTCCTGATCAAATTCCTATCACTGTGTGGTTGGCCCTAGGAGAAGAGGGAGTTAAGTGGTTGACCAACATTTTTAATATTATTCTAGAGACTGCCAAGATGCCAGAGGAGTGGAGAGAGTCCACGGTGATACCATTCTATAAGAATAAAGGAGATCCCCAACGTTGTGGCAACTACAGAGGTATTAAACTACTCATCCATACCATGAAGCTATGGGAAAGGGTGATAGAGGCTAGGTTGAGACAAGTTACTAGGGTTTCGGAAAACCAATTTGGCTTTATGCCAAGCAGGTCTACTACGGAGGCAATTCATCTACTTCGACGTCTTATGGAGAAATATAGGGAAAAATAGAGATCTTCACATGGCGTTCATTGACCTTGAGAATGCGTATGATAACGTTCCCCGTGATACGATCTGGAAGACCTTGGAAACGAGACGGATCCCAACTGCTTATATCCGTGCGATTCGTGATATGTACTATAGATCTACTACCTACGTCAGGACTACAGTTGGTGACACCGAGGTATTTTCGGTGGAAATCGAACTCCACCAAGGGTCGGCTCTTAGCCCTTACATCTTCGCTTTGATTATGGACGACATCTATTGTGCGACACTAGACGGTATTCCATGGTGTATGCTTTTTGCTGACGATATTGTCTTAGTGGCTGAAACAAAAACTGAGCTGAATAGTAGACTGTCTACCTGGAAAACAGCTTTGAAAGAAATAGGTCTAAGGATCAATATTGAAAAGACAGAGTATTTATGTTTAAACTTCAGTGGGAACCAAAACGATGAAGATGTAGAAATATGCATAGAATGACACGTTCTCCCCTCAAAGGATTGTTTCAAGTACCTAGGGTCTATGATACGTAAAGATGGGGGGTATAGATGAAGACGTTTCACACTGTATAAAGGCGGGATGGCTCAAGTGGAGGGCTGCTACTGGAGTTTTGTGTGACAAGAAGGTACCTCTAAAACTTAAGGGAAAATTTTA